CTTGTGTTTTCTTTTCCCTATGCAGTTCATATTAAACTTCTCACGTCATATTTCTTAGACTTTCTTATTGCGAGCGATGCTTTCTAGTTTTACCTTTAAAGAACATTACATTAACGCGGTAATTCTACGTTTTCGGAAAGTTTTCTTATTCCTACACAGTATTCTAAACAATTTAATTTCTCTAATTATATTAAAGATAATAATATTAAATTCATTGAATTTCATTACAAAAAAAAAAAGAAATAAACGAAGAATTGTATGTTAAATTAAACTTCGTCATACCTTTTTTTTTATATAATATCATTAATTTATTATTAATAATAAAATAGAAACTTTCACTAAATAAATCCACTAATTTTACTTTTGAAATCACATTACGAATTATATTACAAACGAAATTTTATTTTGGACATTACTGTACACTTCTGCACGTTATAATATAGTTTTCGACTAAGAACATGACGAAAGACGTAATTTTCACAGTGAACGGTATTCGAAAGTATTTTCGATCATTATTTCTTATAATAATAATAATAATAATAATATATAATATATATACTGTATTATATATAATACTATATATAATAATAATATTATATAATCTAATATATAATGTAACAATTATAATAATAATAATATATAATCTAACTATATATAATGTATAATGTAACAATTATAATAATAATAATATATAATCTAACTATTAATAATATATTTTATATATGATACTATATATAATAATATCATATAATCTAATATACGATATAATAATCATAATTATAATAATATATAATCTAATTATCAATAAATATATTATATATAATACTACATTTAATATTATTATATACTCCAATATATGATATAATAATTATAATAATAATAATAATATATAATCTAATTATTAATAATATATTATATATAATATTATATATAATATTATATAATCTAATATATAATATAATTATTAATAATATAACATATTATAATATTATATACATTATATATTATAATATATATTAATAATTATAATAATTATATTATATATATATAATTTATTATCAATAATTATCAATAATTATATTATATATATATAATACTACATATAATAATAATACTATATGTATTATATAATCTAATATATAATATAATTATTATAATTATAATAATGATAAATAATTTTATATATTTAATTCATATATTAGATTCATGTATAATCTTATAATTCACATATTAGATCACTATTTTCCCGCCATTCGAAAAAACGACAAAGTGTGTTTCCAATAATCCCGGAAACGAAGGGTGAACCAGCTGCCTGAGAGGTGGAACGAGAGAGAAAGAGAGAGAGACAGAAAGAGAATTAAAAGGACGAATGCAAATTCCAATATCGAAGGAACGAGAAGTCGAGAAGGAATCGAGCGTCGAGAAGGAATCGAGCGTCGATCCGGTTCGATCGTCGAGCTATTTTTTTTCTTAATCGCGCGCGTTCGTGGAGAAAAGCCGCCAGCGGAAGTGTGTTAGAATCTCGCTCTGGCCAGAGCGCGCCAGATACGAGTGAATATTTCTCCGGTTTCCCGTGGCCGGAACGTTCTTCGAAAGTGTTTCAACATCTTCGTCGTGCGCGACGAATCGATGGGACGCGATTACTCCGCGTCGACAGGCTTATTTTACCAACCGATCTGAAACGAAATCGTCGTTTACCTCGCGAGGTAAATCGGTGATTTCACGTCCCTTCTCGATCGTCGCTTTCAACCGGTTACATACTGCCGTTCGCGTTTGCTACTCGGGTAAAATTGATTGGCAACGAGACTTTCGATTTCTTTCGCTTGTCGGTGTTTCGATTAGGTATGACGGGAGGATTGCAACAGCGTGTCGATTAGTCAGATCGGTGGGAATTCCAATGGGAACGAGAGAGAGAACGTTTACTGAAAATTTTTATTTTTCTCCTCTGACGGCGTGCGATTGTATCGTATTTAGAATATTAATAATAGTAATAATATGTTATTAATTATATAATAATATATTATTATTATTAATATTCTAAATACGATATTATTCTAAATATATTATTAATTATATAATAATATATTATTATTAAATATAATATAATTATACAATAATATATTATTATTAAATATAATATAATTATATAATAATATATTATTATTATTAATATCCTAAATGTATTATTAATTATATAATAATATATTATTATTATAAATCTAATTATATTAGATTATATAATATTATTATATATAGTATTATATATAATATAGTATATATATTATATATTATTATTATTATTATTATTATTGTTAATATTTAGGGACGCGACTTAACAGCAGGCATGGTGGTTTCAATTTAGTATTTAACTCACGTGTCAACAGGTAGCCCGGAGATTATTGGCCTGTCAATTCGTTTCTGAATTTGATATTCTAACTAGACGCTGACACTATGCGATTCACGTCTCGAATCTTCGCGTCGCAGAAATGACAGACAAATCTGGCAACTGACACGCGTTTTGTGAAAACCTTTTTTTTTGTTCCACGTGACAGGGAGCAACGTGAGGCTGATTTGTATAAAAATCACGCGCGGTGGATACGTCTGAAAATATCGAAAATGCGGAATTAGAACGAAAATATTTCCCGGGCGCTGTCACGCGTGACAAAGTCGAAGGATTGGCTTTTTGAACGTTATCACTGGATATCTTAAAATCGAATTTAGTTGCAACTATTGCAAAGATAATTTTTTTCATAAAAATATTTCTTCTAGTATTTTATTCGATCCAGTTCCAAAACTGATTTGATATATTGTTTCAGGAGGGGGTAATTATAATTTATTAAATAAATAGTAGAACACGATTTCAAAGTACAACTTTGGAATCATTTTACTGCAACGTAATATAAAATTTGCACAGTTTTAAAATTATTCAACGATTTTGAAAGTTGATAGAGCGCAATCAGGATTACGTAATCCTTGGAATTTCAAAGCGTATGTAATTGATTAATGTACGAATTGAATTTAAAATATTGAACGAAGACTCTTTCGAATTAAATTGATTCGTGTAATGTGTAACAAATTTATTTGTTATAATATATTAAGTAGAACATTATCCCAAACTAGGACGTCGCTTGTAACTATTTCCTAACTATCACAATTACTTCAACACGTGCAGAACTCAATTTTAGCAATACAATTAAAATCGACAAATTAATTTTCTGAACTACAGTAAGAACGACTGTAAGACCTAGCCAATCGATATTCCAACAATTCGTGTTCAACATACATCTCAAACTTCTCTAGATCCATTTCTAAACCCAAAAATCCCACCTTTTACCCCTCCGTTAGATTGATCTCCTAAAACTCCAAAACACGCGAACTTTCCTCGAAAAAGATTTCACCTCTGTACAGAATCTCCCCTTCATGTAAAGAGACTTTATCCAACATCTCATCCTTTAAGTTCCGATCGATGGAACACATTCGACGCGATAGATACATCTATTTACTCGATGAGGGAGGGCTCGCTCGAGGTCCACTTCCGGTGAGCTAGTCAAGTTTTGTCAGCACACAGGGGACTCTGATTTCGTGAATTTGCCGGAATGCTGCCTATATCTAAATGATATATGTCTATATCTAAAGTGATTTAACGATTTATCGAATCGGTGCTTAAAAAATTATATATTAGTCGTAGGAAACATTTTTTTTTATTCATGACACTTCCGATTTTGGAGTACAATTTCTTTCTATTTTTTAAAAATCACATCCAAATTAGATAAATTGTTATAAAATCCTCAATTTGTATTAACAGAGTTGGTCTAAATATTTCATTAATATTTCATTAACTATCAAACATATTATTAACTACATTAACTGTTAAATATAATGTTTCATTAATTATTTAAATATTATCAAACACTATCAAACACTGTGATCAGTTGTGTTATTTAGTCTTCATATCAATAATTTTGGAATACAGTTTCCTTCTATTTTTTAAAAATCACATCTGAATTAGATAAATCGTTATAAAATCCTCAATTTGTATTAACAGAGTCGGTCTAAATATTTCATTAATATTTCATTAACTATCAAACATATTATTAACTGTTAAATATTTTTAATGTTTCATTAACTATTTGAACACTATCAAACACTATCAAACAGTGTGATCAGTTGTGTTATTTAGTCTTCATATCAATAATTTTAGAATACAATTTCCTTCTATTTTTTAAAAATTACATCCAGATTAGATAAATCATTATAAAATCCTGGATTCCTAACAAACAGAGTTGATCTGAATATTTCATTAATATTTCATTAACTATCAACTATTATTAACTACATTAATTATTAACAGTTAAATAATTTTAATGTTTCACTAACTATTTCAACACCATCAAACACTGTAATCAGTTGTGTTATTTAGTCTTCATAATAATTTTGGAATGCAATTTCCTTCTATTTTTTAAAAATCACATCCAGATTAGATAAATCGTTATAAAATCCTCAATTTATATTAACAGAGTTGATCTAAATATTTCATTAACTATCAAACATATTATTAACTGCATTGACTGTTAAATATAATGTTTCATTAACTATTTCAACACTATCAAACACTATCAGTTGTGCTATTTGGTCTTCATATCAATACTTATATATGCTCGACTATAGAAGAAGTTTAAAGTAGATTTGGTAGTCTAGAACCGTATGACAGCGAGACTTACGAATCCGTGCTGTCCTGTTTAAATATTTTAAACCCAGAACACCATTTACTCCTGTTCTCTGTTTATTTCACGCCGAATACTGACTGCCCCCAAATCCTTGTTGAATCGTTGAATTTACACTCCTTACAAAGGATACGCTGTTCGCCGCGTGTGAAATTCAAACCCAGCCAAACGTCAGCCGATAATCTAACTTTTACACGATTCCGAAACTGCCGCTGACCCTAATGAGATTATTCATCGCATCTCGTTAATAAATCCAGATATACAAAAGATACTCACCAAGGGTCTCGCTTTCGGGGTTCCACTTTCGGCAAACCTAGGCGAACCTAGGCAAACTTTCCTCTTGTCAACGCACAAGCGACTCGAAGATTTGGATGTATCCAAAGAGAGAGAGAGAGAAAAAGGGTACGAGAAACCAAGAAAGAGAGAAACTTGGAACAAACTTGCTGTGCACGTGAAAAAAAATTGTTCGGCGAGCGCGGCTCGTGTGTACTATGTGTATCGGTGAACGAGTGGCAAGGCCCATCCAGAGATTGGTCGAGAGGGTCCGTCGGACTGGCGCGAACTGGCTCGCAGCCTGGGCCTCGGTTTCAGCCTCAGCTGAACGCCGACGTTCGACGTTTCCCCCCGTTTCGCCGGCAAGAAAGAGGAAGAAAGTAGGCTTCGAGTGACCCTTCTTCTTATTCCGTGGATCGACTTCGCTATTACTCGCCGCGAGAACGTACGCCTCGTGCCGCTTCGGCTTTCCAGCAGCTGTCGTCGAAAGTTTCCCTGGTCGGTCGTCGTTGTTTCGAGAATCGAATCGAGTCGATTTGTCGCGTGGCTTCGGCCTCGCCTCGCCGCGTGACGAGGGTCAGACGCCGACGAAAGGCCCACGATCGACTTCCGTTCTCGTGCGCCGCTTGTCAACCTGTTTGCCTCTGTTTGTTCGCGCGGTTCGATCGCCCGTCTGATTTTTAATACCGGTGTACATAAGTTTCTCAACTTATTCACAACTTTCCTCTTCCTCTTTTGTTTTTATTATGTTAATATTGTATTGATAACATTAATATTATTTATATCATGTTAATTATATTATATGTGTAATTAATATATATCTATATAATTAATATATAATTTATATAATAATGTCATTATTATTATTACTATCATAACAACAAATATCATAACATTATTATGTTATTATCATTATGTTATTACATATTATTATATATAATAATAATATATGGCATATAAATATAATTAATATAAAATTAATTATATTTATATACTATAAATATAATATTATTATAGTATATATATATAATACACTATTATTATAGTATAATATACTAATATACTAATATTATATTATACTATAATAGTAGTATATAGTATACTACTATATTATACTAATATTATATTATACTATAATAGTAGTATATAGTATACTACTATATTATACTAATATTATAGTATACTACTATTATACTAAGTATTATACTATAATATTATAGTACTATTATACAAGTATTATACTAATATTATAGTATAATATACTAATATACTAATATTATAGTACTATTATACAAGTATTATACTAATATTATAGTATAATATAGTAATATACTAACATTATAGTACTATTATACTAAGTATTATACTAATATTATAGTATAATATACTAATATACTAATATTATAGTATACTACTATTATACTAAGTATTATACTATAATATTATAATAGTAGTATATTATAGTATACTACTAGTAGTATATAGTATATATATATATATATATATATATATATATATATAATATACTACTATTATAGTATAATATAATATTTATAGTATACTATAAATATTATATATATAATATATATACATATACATATAATTAATTATATTACTTTATATTTTATTTATATCATATAAATAATATTAATATTATTTTTCTGATCATGCAGACGTTCTCATAGCTTCTAGCTTGCAGTATGTTATCAGGGGATCTTGATAGGCGACGAGAGATTGTCGCTTTGATATTCAACTTCCTTCTTATTTGATTGTATTTGGAATATTCGAGAATGACGTATCTCGCATGAGATTAGATCCTGCTGCTGCTCAGGATGTGAATGTGACAGTTTAGCGACAGCCGGTTCTGCTGTGATATTTCGTCTTACTTTGCTGGTTTCTGCTGTGAGAAACCTTCCGTAGAAATTGCTAATAAATTTATAGACTTTGTACTTTTCTCACGTTAGGTTTAGATTAGGTTAGGCCTTATGCCTAGCCTGTGCTACTCATTACACCTCGTCTGTGATGAATGAACGCACAACGTTTTATAAGATTTCGTGTCCCATGTTCTGAAACAGTAAAAGTACTGTTCTTTTTAACGCTTGAGAAACAATCGAATCGGAGAATTAAGTCAAATGATCAATTTGTTATCATGTTCACTTTGCCAGGTGAAACAGATTTCAATTTATATATCCCATCTTTTTAATTACATTCAAAATCTGTTCGAAGAAACAAGAAGCTCGTAACGTGAAAATGTTCAAACTAATTGTAAGTGTAGTAAAGTAAACAGAAAAGTGTAACAGAGTACGTAATCTTATCGCGAGGGGTTCTAAAATCCAATACAAGCCGCAAACTGCTTGAGCGAGGGTACAGCACCTAAACCCCTTTTGGCATCGAGTGACGGTCTCTGGCACGTGATTGTACACTTTGGCTTAGGAAACGCGTGGCGTGCTAGAGACGTTATTTGACGTCAAGGGGTTGAGTAACTTTCTCTGTCGGCAGGATCTATTAACAATTGAGAGTGATACGAATTTTCTTCTGAGCAATCGTGCCCACAGAACGCGGGATTTCGTCGATAAAAATAATTATCAAATAATTATTTATACAATTTATATAATTTATTTAGTTATATAATTTTATATATTCATATGTATATATTTATTTATTTATATAATTTTATATATTTGTATATATTTATTTATTTATTTATATAATTTTATATATTTGTATATATTTATTCATTTATTTATATAATTTTATATATTTGTATATATTTATTTATTTATTTATATAATTTTATATATTTGTATATATTTATTTGTTTATATAATTTTATATATTTATATTTATTTATTTGTTTATATAATTTTATATATTTATATTTATTTATTTATATAATTTTATATATTTATATTTATTTATTTATATAATTTTATATATTTATATTTATTTATTTATTTATATAATTTATTTATTTATATTATTTTATATATTTATATATATATATATTTATTTATATATTTGTTTATTTATATAATGTATTTATTATAATTTATTTATTTATGCAATTTATTTATTTATATAATATTTGCAATATTTATTTATTTTAAAAAAACTATCTACATGGAATTTTTTTTAGTATAAGAAATAGGAAAAATATCTTTATTTGAATTGTAAAACATAGAATATTTCTTGGAATGAAACAAAAGTAATATTTGAATAAATCGTCATAAATGGGAAAATAATTTGCATATTGAATATTTGCAGATTATTGCATAAATAATCCCACTGTGCAGCTAACGTTTCAAATGAAATTCATTGAAACACAAATTTAGGTGAAGTAAAAAATATTCCACCATGCATTAACTGTCAAAAAAAAAAAAAAATGTGGGACAATTTTAAACCTCAAAGAGTCAAATCATCTCGCGCGCATTAATCAACACACCGTTAATCCACGGAGAATAATTATTCTTCGGCCACTGTCTCGCGTTTGCCAGCGAACGAATTTCCGATCGAACTGGTTCGGCGTTTTTACGATCGTCCGATCGTTTCTTCCTGTTTTACTGGACGCCGGTAGGCAGCGAACGGGCTAACATAATTAGCAGTCGGACAGGAAAAAGCGGTCGGCTATTACGGATCCTATTACGAAAATACTGTCGCGCATTAAGTGCGTGACGGCAAACGGTGGCGAACGATCGCCAAGGAAATCGGCAAATGCAAATTAATTTTAGGCAGGCTGCTTTTAAACGTCACATTTTTAACGACTACGGAATGGAATGGAACGGAACGGAGTGTTATTTTAAATGGAATATTAATAACCAGAAGTCAAACCCAATATTTTTGGACGAATTTCAGGTTTCCTCCTCTCTCATTTTTTTTTATTCTTTTATTTCTTTACAACTGCTTGAAATACATTTCTGTCAAAGTTAACATCGAATTGAATTGTATAAATCGATCGATCGTATAATTATTATCATTTAGAATATTTTCACACTTATTGACACCGGCGTGAATTCACTTCAAGTAACTTTTAATTGTATGTAATTTTACATTTTACAATTTACATTAATTACGAATCATGTTTGATTCTGGAAACGTGAGAAACAGTCTGATTTTGTCACAGTGTCATCGTTTTAAGGACGTTGTTCTGTTTAATATTTATATTTCAATCGTAATATTAATTGTACACTTTCGTATCACAATTGTACATGATTTTAACTTTTGATCACGTATGATTTTATATTCTACAGTTCTTAATTATTCGTATTATATATTATATGCTTTATATTTCGTTTATTCATTTTGTAAGATTAAAACGCGTGTTACACATGGCGAGTGATCGAACGATCCAATTCCGTACGATCGTATCATTCGTTAGATCGAAATTGATGATGCAAATTAATTTTAGATTAATCATGTCAGCCGTTAATTTATGATAATTAATGTTTCGAAGGCGTTGCACACCTGTGAATGTTAATCTCTCACTAATTTATTTGCACATTTTCCACAATTACTCCCAAGACGTGAAAATATTTCAATTGCGGACTTGTAGTTGAGATAAATTAATGATAATGAAGCGACTTTTGATGGAACGATGGCGTTTTTTTTAGAAAGGTAAATGTGACCTAATTTTCGTTGCAGTCAACTTCGTTCACGGAGTACAAAATCGACGATGGTAAATTAACTTCGATTTAAATTATGTTTGATCTTTCTGAAAATGTAAGCATCCTCTCTAATTTCATCACAGTGTTCAGTTCGCTTCGAAAATGTTCAAATCCTTCGTTTCTCTTTAAACATGAAAATTTTAATACATATATCGTATATAATACAAACTAAAAATCAATCGAATTTTCAATCAATCAAGTCATATATATATATATATATATATATACCTATATATATATACCTGTCAAACATTTTGTTGATTTTCAATTAGTTAACAATGGACAATTAATTAAAAAATTAATTTAAGTTAAATTATTTAATTATTATATTTAATTATTATTAATTATTATTATATTTAATTATTATTAATTATATTATTTATATTATATAATATTATATTAATAATATTATAATGTTATAATATTATATTAATAATATTATATAATATTATTCTATTTAATTACTTAATAACATTATTTTAATTTAAATTAATTAAAAATCAACCGAACGTCATTCGTCGAATCGAAAATCACTTAATTAACCCGCCAAACGAATCCTCTCCTAGTGCATAATATAATTGGCCTCTGTCTCTCTATGTTCTTTCCTTTCTCTCTTCTCACCCCTCCGTTGCACAACGCGCCTTTTCGCGGACGGATAACAATCGACCTACTTATTAAAAAAGAATC